AGTAGTATCTAAAGATTGAAAATTTATATATTTATTCAATAGTCTCGGGTTTCACTTCTAATTTTTGGACCCCAAGGCCTTAGTGTGATAATAGATTGAATAATGCTATTTAACATCTAAGATGTATAACACCAGTTTAGGTGACAATAGTAATAACACTTAATTATAGGTTCAATTAAACGAATCCGATAGTTTTACCTTTAACAACCTATTACATAATGCCACATAGACCATTGTTCAAGCACCACTGGAGCTAAGTAACATTTTTCCAATAGATTAGGGACCAAGAGTGTAATTTGTTTATTAGTGAAGTTTAAGGTTCTACTTCTACACGAATGAATGCATACAAGGTGATGGAATCACATTTCATGCAGCATCTTCCAAATGAGTATGCTAAAAGAGGAGCCTGTTTAGTTCTTGTGGCGAGGAGGGAAAGAAGCCTGCAGGAAGTAGCCGAAAGGGCATGGGGTCTCGGTGCCCCGGATGTTTTGGTGGTTCGTGCAGATGTTTCAAAGGTGGAGGATTGTAGAAATGTTGTTGATCGAACTATGCAGCATTTTGGCAGTTGTAAGTGCATATTTTATGTACGCATGTGTGAATTTAGGGTCTGTTTAATGTAGATTTTTTTAGGATAAATTTTGAGGAAAATAATTTCTTAAAAAAACTTGTAATAAAAAAAGAAGGAAAAAAATTATTTTATTCGAAGAAAATATGGTTAAAAATGAATTTAGGAAATTTTTAAACGAACGATTCAACATGGTATTAGAATACTAAAATGTATAATTAAGTCGTGTCGTCACTTATTTATGAAAGTTCATACGTTCATCCTTTGACGTGAACCTTAAATCTGATATGACATATGGAGCATGTTTAATACTAGATTCATTTATAGCAAGTTAAACTCTTTTAGACGAGGTGGTCCAATATAAGAATGTGATTATTGTCTCTGTTTTATTTAGTGGATCATCTGGTTAATAATGCGGGAATGATGTCGATATCTTTGCTGGAAGAAGCTAAAGATGTCACTGATTTCAGAACAGTCATGGTAAGATCTAAGGTTATAGAAGGATTTCTTTCTAACAAATTTGAAGGAAATCTCATGATATTCGAGGACGAATGATCTCATAGACTGTCATTGTTGTTGTCAACCAATGATCAATACAAGCTTGAATCTTCGTACAACTAAAATTTACAGCAAAGATTACAAGAGTATCTATTGATAGATTCTGTCATTCTTCCTTCTCCTATGCAAACCTAATAGGATACCAATTTTTGGGGCTACGTATATATGACGCGATTCGCGGTTCCGCATCTCAGAAACAGCGAAGGCAGAATTGTTGCACTTTCTTCAAGTGCGTCGTGGCTACCAGCACCTAGGATGAGTTTTTACAATGTAAGTGGAGAATACACACCTCATAATATACTTGTGCTTTTTTGATTCCCCAGGATTGGAATTCATGTGTTTTCCGTGTATTATATTTCAGGCAAGCAAAGCAGCAATTGCGCAATTTTTCGAGACGTCGAGGATTGAGTTCGGGCCTCATATAGGAATTACACTTGTAACTCCTGGATTCGAAGAGTCTGAACTTACAAAAGGCAAACAAATGAGCAAGGCAGGCAAACTTGAAGTTGATCAGGAAAGCAGAGATGTAAGTTGTTTCCCTTTTTTTTCTCGACCTGTGCACGATATAAGCATCAAAATTCCCTATTACGTACCACAAAGCAAATCAAAACATAATTCCTAATCATAAAGCTCATAATCAAACCATCATTAACACCTGAGCAAACCACAATTTGACTTTTAGAGTGTGCTTGAGCCACATTATTTTGGAAGAATGTATTTTGGAATAGTAGATTGATGGAGGATTTGTGGTTGAAAAAGAAGGAAAAGTTATTGATGTGATAGAAAATATTATTTTATTGAAGAATGTGAGGTTGAAAATGAGTAAAAGAATGAGAATGAAAATTTTAATGTGTACCAAACAGGGGCTTAGACGAGCTTGTTCTTGAACTGAAGTATAGTGTTCGGGTTCCATATATGTAACATACAAATATAAGCAATGACTAATAGCACATTTAGTCGTAAAACTGCAAAGGCAACACATGATAAGGGAAGACAAGATAAACGAAATTCGTTGTCACATATTGCCATCATGTTTCAATAATGCAATTAGATTGTGCAAATATTCGAAGGATATATTTCTTTCTTTTTCTTTAAAAATTGACTGTGTTGAATGAAATTTGGAGTAGGCTATAGTGAGCATGATCCCAGTACAGAGAGTGGAGAGTTGTGCAAGAGGAATTGTGAGCAGTGCATGCAAGGGAGAAAGATATGTTACTGAACCTGCATGGTTCAGAGCCACTTTCTTATGGAATATTTTCTGCCCAGAGGTGATAGATTGGACTTACCGATTGCTATACATCACCTGTCCAGGGGAATCACAAAAGGATGCCATTGGCAAGAAGCTAGTAGATTTCACCGGAGCCAAGAAATTTCTCTATCCAGAAACTATTAAAGTACCCGACCCAAAGACAGATTAATATCGAACATGTTAGTTCCTGTATTGTGAATTTGTGTGGTTTGTAGTATGATCGTTTGATGATGACTTTGTTCTGCCTCAGGATTGCGTAGTTAAGAATCTTTGATTTTGTCTATCATGAAGCAATACTTAAGAATAAGCTTATGAAGGTAAAGTATGAGCAGATTTTAATTAACAAAATCAAGAATGTATCGTTTTAGACTCTTGAGAAGCAACCAGGCATCGGATTCTGGACAGCCCTCATTCATTTCAATGGCAACTGGAACACGAGAGGCTTCATTGATCTCTACAAGCATCGTACCCGGCGAGGGAAAAATGCAATGGGACCATGACTAGAGATTCAACTGACATCTTTAAAAAATTGTCATGGTTCAAAGCTGATGACGATGATCAACAGTTAACCTCAAAATTTACCAGGAATTTCTGGAACTGTTTAAACGCTTTCTTCATATTACAGATAAGCTCGCTGTCTTCTGAAGTAAGAGCACTTGTGACATCTTCAGGAGAATGACCAATCGCATTCTCTACAACCTGTGGATAGAGATCGGAATCTATCTGCTAAAGAACCATTCAGTCGTAAACCACCATCACTTCATTTTCTCCCTCATTACATACTAGTTTCTGTTGGTTCTTTATTCAAAAGAATAAGAGAGAGGCTTAATGGTGGAAAAGAATTGAATATCCTTTTAAGAATAAACAACTACGCTAAAACCAAAGACTAAATTTAGAATAAGGGTGTGTTTGGGACACATTCTTTTAAAAGAAAATATTATTGAATAGTAGATTGATGGAGAATGTGTGGTTAAAAATGAAGGAAAAGTTATTGATGTGATGGAAATTATTTTTTTATTGAAGAATGTATGGTTGAAAATGAGTAGAAAAATGAGAATGAAAAAAATAATGTGTACCAAACAGGGTCTAAGTAACTAGAATAATCATTTTTCTTTTGAGGGATATGGTAAAAGTGGTCAAATACTTTGAGCAATTAAATTTGGACATTTCTCCTCATCCTCCAATTAAATTTTGATACCTCAATATAATTTTGAGGTGCAAAAACTTAGTGGAACATTGTTCAGCCTGCAAGAAAAAAGAAAAAGAAAAAGAAAAAAAAGGAACTTTGTATTGTTTAGAATATATTTTCTTACATTGGTCGATTTTGCATTGTTCAAGGAACACAATAATGCAAAAAGTTCAGTACCAAATACACAAATCTGTGCAATCCTTTGCTTGGTTCTTGCTTTACTGCCGAAAATAAAGATTAGAAATTGAACCCCAACGCCTGGAAAGGCATTCATGAAATAGTGAAATACCGACATGTTAGTCTATAATTGACAAGAACATTCCTAAAAAGAATGTAATTGTTTGATGTTTGTGGAATTTAATGTTAAAAATATGTGCCCAACACATTATAATATAGTCCCACATAACCACCACTCAATCTCTCATTAAACTATGATCATGATTCCCGAGTCATATTCAATTCAGTGTACCAAAGCAAATAAGAAAAGGGAGTTGAATTTAAAAAACCGGGCTTCTGTTTCTATATATAGACAAGTTTGGGCTAGTTTTTCTTGAAGAAGTGTGAAAAATTATCTAAATGGCTGCCATTCTAGTGAAGAAGTGGGTTCTTGCGGTGATAGCAATGATGATTTGGCTGTTTATTTTGGGTCCTTCGAATGTGGAGTGTGCATTTGGTATTGACATTAATCCATGCACAGTTCCTTCATGTGTTGCTGCATGCAAAAAGACCTTGCATGAGAAGTACCTTGGTGCAACCTGTACACTTGGACCTAAGGGAAAGTATTGTGTTTGTTTAGGTTAATATGTGTGTATTTACATATGTACATGTATAGTATTGTTTGGTCCGACTAGACTAGTAAGTTATTATCTAATATGTCATACGAAACTCGCTATTTGAAGGTTATGATAAGTTATATACAGCCTGTCTGGCGCTGCTTTTTCAAGCCAAAAAATTGATTTTGTAGCCGTTGCACGTCCTTTTATGCCGTAATGTTTGACCATTATACTCACATGTGGGACCCAACTTACTATCTAACGGTACAAAAATTGCTTTGCAAAGCAATACCAGACAGGCTTATAAATATTAAGCAATCCGTGTATCTTTCGTGGTGTCACGTTTATACAACGCATGATACTATAATAATAGATATCACTTGCTATGTATTTTGTTTTGATTTAGTTCATCTCTCTCGCCCTTAAAATGGCTTGAAAGAAAATGGTGTATTATATGCCTACAAGTATAAACCCACAAAACGTGCGTTCCATGAGGGATATACGATCATAAGAACGAAATGATGTTCAAAGTAGTCCATTTCCTCCAACTGTGTCAAACTGTGTCAGAACCCTTTTTGGGTAGCTTCTATTTTTTTGTAAAACTAGTTATCTTCCTCTAAAAACTTTTCTAACCTGACAAAGCCCTACCAAAAAGCCCTTAGTCCTCTACTTAGACTACTTCCATGAGAAGTAGCTCTGCTTGACTTGGCCATCTGCAACTATACTATTATCTCTACCAATTGCAGACTAGGCTAAAGTTGGCCCCTTTTCAAGGGGATTTACATAGCACATATATGTAAACGATGATCATGTATCCCAATTGTGGAAGGGGAAGCGTGGTGATAAGAGAACTGACATTGACGACGGGATTTATTATCTCTAGAGTTACAACCGAAGTTAGCACCATTATACAGTTTGTCAATACCAAAGTCTCCTCTTCTAGGACAAAAGTTCAAATAAAAAGCAATAAGCCTACTAATATCATTGTTCAGAAACCGTCTGAGACAAAGTCTCTCCTCTTCTAGGACAAAAGTTCAAATAAAAAGCAATAAGCCTACTAATATCATTGTTCAGAAACCGTCTGAGATTTTACCGAGGTGTGATCCTTCCATCTGGATATTCCAGCATTGAATATCCTTTGCAAGACATTTAGTCGATCAGCTACCAGAGATTCTTCCAGTTCCTCGATGTGGGCATTTTCTTTTTCCATAATCAATTCCAGTTCATCAAAATACTTCATCTTGCGTTTCAATTTCTTCATCTGTATATGTATAAATGCAAACAATAAACATCTAAATCTACTCAATCCAGGACTGTAACTTAGGTTAAACAATGTGGAAAGTTTAACAACTGTAATTACCGAGAACTAGCAAACTTCCATAAGATTTTTCACCGCAATTTTCACCAAATCATTGTAAAAACTAAATAGACCTATCAGAATTCAAAGATATAAAACCGCACCTGAGTTTCAATCATGATAGCCATCAATTGTTCCATCCTTTTCTCTTCTTGATCAGCCAAATATTTGGCATGAGCAGCAGCAGCACCAAGGGCTGTTGCAGTTGCGGCCCTCGTTCTTAAGTTTATTTGTATTGTATCCTTATGAGATGATGGGCCCTGAATTTCTGTGGACACATATGATGATCAAATAATGAGCGATAATGGCCTCGATGTTGAGGAAGCATGTCTGGCTAAGTTTAAGAAAAAGTTTCTAAGCATGTACTTATTTCGAATTTTGATCAACAAAATAATTACGTTAAAATTTAAATATTTAATTATAATTAAACCTTTAAGAATAGCCAAACGTGCTCTTTTGTCGAAGCAATGCATATAATGGAAGTTATAACATACTATGAGTCATTAACAAATATGAAAAATACCAGATTGTTTGGGCCCTTCATCCCCATCTAAAAGATTACCCTGAGCTGCTCTGATAGAGAAACAGTGTTCCAGCTTTAGCATTTCAATGCCAAAAACTTGTTGAACAGACAAGACTTCATATATGATTAGATGAATACCTCTTTTGTTCAATATTTTCAGCTGAAGCTTTAAGATCAACAAAAATATCATCCTCATCAAATACTTCCCTGGAACATTGGTTTTCATAACAAAGAGCCGTAACAGCTGCCTCAGCTGCAGAAGCTGTGACATGAGGCCCAACTGCGGTAGATATGCGAGCAACCTAATAGAGTAAATTTGAGTTGCCGATTATAAAGCCAAAAATTGATATCAGATGATACCACTTTTAAGATAAGTGAATGTAGAATAACATAACCATCAGACAAGTTTAACACCCCACTTTTCTCACTGAAAATTTATTAATTAAGTAAATTGTATTTGTTCATAGATACTTCAAACAACATCAGTGGATCCCCAATAGTTGCAAGAGCAAAAAAGCTACAATTCACAAACATCCAAAAGATATTTATATTTATTTTCAATAGTTCCCATAAGGCTTCCAAGTTATCATCGATCAAAACCTTGCGACTGAAGAATAAATTATTGAGAACTCAGAAGTATATTGAAGCAGAAAGACTAAAATAAGCACCTGGTTCATCAAATAAGTGGTATTTGAAGTTGGTTCCATGCGTATTCTTTTTGGAGGTTGACCTTGGGTGTCGGTATATCCATTCAGCTGGCCCTCATCCTTAAGCTTGTGGCTAGGGTCCTCTACTTTTGCAGATTCTTGAGATTCCTTAAAAGCAAGCTTTCCCTGTTTCAAATTACTTACATCACCAGTTACATCCAAAAATTTCCTCTTTCTGTGGGCTGAACCCAACATCCGATCTCCAAAAGGAAGCTCCATTAATTTTGATATACAATCCATTTTACTTTTCGTCTGAACATCCTGAGCAACAAGATCCCAGTCATCTCCATGCTTCAAAACAGATTCTAAAAGATGCAAAGTTTCTGCTTCGGTCCAGACATTGTATTGATTCCCACTGTTTATTAACTTGAAATCGTCTGCTGAATTGTTCTTCTCATAATTACCACTTTTGAAGCACTTATCACAAAGAATAAAGCTCCCTTCCTGATATATGACAAGGATAATGAAATAAACTTAATTTCTAGTAATAACAGAAACTAATATGTAGAATCGTTAATTACCACTTTTGAAGCACTTATCACAAAGAATAAAGCTCCCTTCCTGATATATGACAAGGATAATGAAATAAACTTAATTTCTAGTAATAACAGAAACTAATA